CTGATTGATATTCAAGTATTGGTTTTGTAAGGATTTTGTTTGATTGCATGGAGGATTTCATCATGTGCTGACATTGGTTAGAGAACCATTGGAAAACCAGCTGGGAGTACTGGACAGCTGTCTCGTTCTAGTTTGGGACTCTTTATCAGTATGCACCCACCGGGGTTCTGTAACCAATGTCAGCTCATGATGAAATCCTGTAACCGATCAACCAAATCCCTACAAACCAATACTTGAATTTCAGAGTTGTGTTCATCTAAGCAGAAAGAGGAACCTTATATACTCTCTTCCCTGGAGGATTCCGAAAATATGCGCTGAGGAATCAATTCACGAAGAATTACGGGACCTTTGGGAAGCCTTGTTAGAGAATGGTTTCCCACCCAGATTCATAGACATGAATCTTAAACCAAAGAAAACGTCTGTAAAGGTCCAAGTCGCTTCCCAATCTTGAAATTAAAAGTGATTCAGAGGCAGAAATTTTCTCTTAGGCAGCTTTCAAAATCTCTCAATAAAACATACTTCACCGCCAGTCTACGGGTAAACTTTTCCTGCAAAAAGAACTATTCAACCAGCAAGTGAAAGAAAAACTGTCTCATTTGGCCAGTTCACTTACTTGTATGGAGCTGAGTATATTGCTTGTATCATGTGTCCGGTTGTAAAACACCCCCGGGAACAATATTCAGCATGATTAGCAAAGGGAGAACTCAAGGCTATGTATAGTTTGGTAACGGAACATCTGATAAATTAAAGACATTCAAAGTCATATACAAGATCCGATCAAACCTCTCAAAAGGAGTGGAATCAAGGCATCTGGCTGGGAATAGCTGTAGCACTAGCGATCCAAATGTTCAAGCCCACGCTATGTGTTCAAAGGAAATACTTCCAACCATTGTCCCTAACGTGGCCATCATGAAAAGCCGGTCCCACCAATAATGATTATCCTATTACGCCTTTCTTATCCTATCTTCCTGTATATTTCCATTATTTTTATGTGTTTTAATCCCTATTCGCATCACTATGCTTTTGCAACCGAACTTCCTGTCTATTTTGTTATTTCTGTGTATTTATCCCTAATTGAATAAAAACAGTCAATTTTTCCAGTAATTGTCATCCTACTATGTCTCTTATCCGATCTTCTTGTTTATTACACTTTGCAATTTTATCAAATTTTCCCTTTGACTGGAAACAGTTCTGGCACTGTCTCACCCATTTATCACACAAATACACGAATGTACAGCTATCTAGTTGGCCAAGTTAAACTTTAAGCACCACTAACCACCAATGGAGTGCGACCGCACCAATGACCTTGAAACACTCACTGAAGCAAGTTAGTGAAACTCGTCAAATAATGTTATCATTACCAATAAAATATGATCATCGAAGTGTTATGTTATTAAATGGGATATCTGGCAAGTTTCAGCTTAGGTTTGGGAAAGATTAAGTTACGGTTTAAGCCAAGGACAAACTGGGGTTAGTCGAACCTAATAAATGCGATATTAGGGTTGGTTTGAGTTAGATTACATTTAGTTTAGGGATATTTTCACGTTAGGGTTAGGTTCAGGAAAAATTAAGGTTATTGTTAGGATTAGAAGACCTAAATAATCACATGCATAAAATGTGGTTAAATTACTCTGTTGATATAAGAATAGAACTTGTGCATTGTGGTAGAGTATAATTCCATTGTGAGTAAAATTTATTTTGATAAAGTCTCACAGTGTTATACAGTAATATTAACTGATGACGTTTTGAGCACAATTTATTATTCACTAAATATTATTGTTTAACTCTATGTGATCTTAAAAAAATAAATTTTACTCACAATGGAATTATACTCTGTTGATGCTCCAATCTAAAACAGAACTATTTTTATCACATATAAGAGGAAGGTACTCTCCGTAACACTTTTATACAGTTTTTATGCGTTTCTTTCATAAATGTATGTATTCCATACACAAAAATGCCTCCTCCACGTGACTGGTGCGTTTGAAGTCATTTGCTGATTGGTAGTTACTGGTGCTTAAAGTTTAACTTTGCATCTAGTTGATGTTGGCTTCATTGAAAAGAAAATTTGCTTCTTCGTTGCAATCGTCCTATATAATATTACCTGTGGTTTAACCTGTGTGTGTTAAACAATATTAGTTTATATTTTACCTATTTTCAAAGTTATTTTTTTAAATATTTCTGTTCTCCAGTACGATTATTTCTAGAAGACAAAGAAAAATTTGAGCAGAGCATATTCCTTTTCAATAATTTCTTCTTCTGGCTCTATACTTATATATATATATATATGTGTGTTTATATACATAGAATATTCTAAAATAGTCGTCATTAACAATATTGGTGTTTTTCCTCTAAACACTATCGATTTGTTAAGTAAGATCACAATGGAATTGCAGTCCATTAAAGACACTTAAGTTATAACAAGCATAAAAATGTAATAGTGAATAGAATATCAAAATAAAATTAAGCATCATTAAAAACTTGATGGCCAAGGGGGTTTAGGACAGTGTCTTCTGCTTTTGAATAGATAAGTTAGGATTTTTAATGTGGATCTCAACAGCCAGCCTCAGCAATATATGCAGTAGATGAGCTCTTAAGGTGAAGTTAAGATTATCATACAGTGATTCCCTTTTATAAATTTGAACAAAGGAAGAAGAAACATTGGTGCAGAATAATCTGGATCCATTTTATTCCGTTGGTTCTCATCAGCCGCGTACAACCTGAATTTTTTTAATTCGAAATAAATTGTACAATTTTAACAAACCTTTGTCCATTAGCAAGCATAGTGTCAGAGCGTCATAGTAAAATAAGGCATTGGGATTTACAGGGTGTCTAAAGTGTCACGATATGTATATATATATATATATATCTTGGCAGAGAGAAGTTTCTCGAAAAAATTAGTTAACAATTGTGTTGTTAAGGTGGTAACAAAAGACAATTAGCAATAGTTACGTAATTATATAAGATCGAAATTTTAAAATTACGGTGCACATGAGGTCATATGAGAAGTTGATGATGTAATACAGTGAGCAGAACTCAGAAGATCAAGAAAAAGTATCTCTTAAGAGAGTCAAGAGAAACATAAAGGGGTGGGGTGGGGTGAAAAGATAAGTTAACAAAATTAGAAAACAAAGAGTTACTAAGACGTGAGTTACCAGGGTAATTGAAGTCCAACAACGGATTTTTTTTGGACACATAAGTCAGGCTTCAATTGTTTTATTGCTATAGCTTCAGCAAACCTGACAAGACTTGAGATACTTTGTCTGTTAATTATTTTGAATGATTCCAGCACATCTACTCTGTATCCTGTGTCAATCAGATATTTGGCGATTGAAGAGCTTAAATAATTCGGTCCCTTTAACCGGATGCTCCTTAATATTAGTTAAGATTATTTGGTATGAGTGGTAGAGGACTTTGAAAGCCGCCTCGTTAACATCAATCTTGTGTTCTGTTGTATCCACGAGATGAGATAATATACAACTATGAATGGACTCTGTTTGTCCCTTATTTAACCACTATGCAGGATGGTGTTCAAAAGTCTGAGGATAAACACGCCTAATTTGTCGGCCTATATAGAACTAACTGCCTCCTGAAGGGAACAGTCAAATTGATAGATATACATAGAAGAGGGCGAAATTAGGTAGTTAGTTTACCTTTAACTCCCGAACTCAAAATACGGGGGTGGTTTTGAAGAGACAGTATAATACTTCAGCGGCATTGAATGATGCTTTTACCACCGTATTCCTTAGGCGTTGTATTACTGTCTCCCTCTCTCTGATATTATCCCCCGAGGAAATGAACTTGTAAGAACATGGCCTTCCTTTTGCATAACTGTTGATGCTTTAACCTGCCTTGACTTTTGATTCTCATATTCATATCGATGAATTTCTCTGGATAATAACTATTCGCACTCAGTAACTGTTTAATGATATTAAGCTCGTCATTAAAACATTCATCAGATAGATATACAATTTCATACAACTGGTTCCCTTGATAAATTTCGATAAAGAAAGGAAGATGAAATTTGCAGTATAAAATGATATCATTCTATGTCACAGGTTCTCATCAGCTGCAGACTACCTGAAATTACAATGGTTATATAAATGATAATAACATACTTTAATGTTTGATTAGTAGTAGAGAAGAGATAAAATTGACGCATCCAAAAAAGAATGAAAGCATTACAATTTTTAGTTTAAGTTATCATCATCAATTTATACACTTTCAGAGTTGAAAAGAGGGGGGGAGGGTTAAGACAGAAAACAGAAAAATTGATTAACAGAAACAGTGTTAGCTTGTAGGTTCACATGGCAACTCCAAAAAACAAAAGCATTTACAGTTTATAAGATTGAGATTTGCTCAGTGAGTTGAGATCACTGAATTGGATGACTAATTATTGTAATCAAAATCAAAATTCAGTTACCAAGGGAGTGAGAGGTTAATCACACTCTCTTTCTGTATGCATAAGTCTGGTTTAAATCGTTTGATTGCGATTACTTCGGCAAATCGTAGTAAATTTGCTGTCCTTTGTCTATTTAATATTTTGAAGGACTTAGAGATCTCTACGAGATGTCCGGTATCAACAATATGTCTGGTAATTGCACTCTGAGAATATTTGCTTCCTTTCAGGCATAGATTTCTTGGAATATGTTCAGAAAACCGGATAGAAGCCCTTCTTTCTGTCCTTCCAATGTACTTGCTCCCGCAAGTGCACGTAAATTCATAAACGCAGTTGGAGGTGACATCAGCAGGGTATTTATCCAGTTTTGAGTTGATCATGGAAGGAGTGGTGTTGTATACTGTTATGAGTTTTGCTGCCGGGAAGCTTCTATTTATTGCTCCTTTCATTCTTCTGTCTTCTACCTGTAATTTCAGGTAGTCTGCAGCTGATGAGAACCTGTGAAATAGAATGATATCATTTTATACTGCAAATTTCGTCTTCCTTTCTTTATCGAGATATGCAATTATTTTTATTTCCTCTTTGTTTTATTTTTTTACAGCCTACTTCGTATAAATCTCATCCGAATAAATTTCAAAATATGCTTCGTACACATTCATGTCATCGTCGAAAATCCCAGTATTATTACGCACACGGTGGTTCGGCGTCTGTACCAGATCCAGCTTCTCCTGTACGTTCATGGTCATCAATATCATCGGGAACTGAGCATAGTTTAACTAATCGTATTGTATGCCGTACACGTAAACAGCTACGGGATCAAACTGATTCAGGTTTCATAGAAACTAATGACTTGATGATGAAACCAACAACAAATTCAAATAAAATGTTATCACAAAATTCTAGTTCAGCATTTCTGTAAGTTGTAATTTTTGAAATGAACTTTCTTAAATTATCTGGTTTTATTTATTAACAATTAGATTTTTTGCGGAATTGTAATACAGTGTACGTCGGTGGCACAGTGGTAGAATACTCGCCAACCATGTCTCTTGTGCTTGCACCTTCCTAGTCGATCGATCATTTAGTATTCACTATCGAGCGAAGAAACCGGCTGCTGATATAAGTTTGCGGATTTCGTGAATTACTGTGGTCATCTGGATGTGATTCAGGATCGGAAAATAAATCAATAGATAAATTAAGACGAAAATGTGACACATACTGCTTGAATGTTAGTAAGGAAAAACGGTTACAGTGCTTGCACATGAGCACAAATTGACAATAAGTATCTCTTAAGTTCCAGTTACCCATGCAAGGTTTAACACTATATTTATACTGTTAGGTTGTCTGTTTCAACTTGATGACGCCCACTTTTGCAGTAAAAAATGTAACCTCAGGTATATGTACAAGAGAAAGAGATATCGTGTTCATGCACCAACTGTGAACAATCGCATTGTACATGTCCTTTGCGTATACAATTGTAGCAAGTTTTATTGAATGTCGGTTTCATATTCATTTGGACATTTAAATGCTTGGTATCTGAACCATCATCTGTATGACAACGTTCTAAAATAGCAGCAATTGAGTTCAACTTCTCAGATTTCAATGCTTCTTGGTATTTCGGAAGCAATCCTCTAATAAAGAAAGACAAGCTCACTGTGATCCTGGTGGTAAACTGCGCTGATCAACTTCGCAAACCCTCAAATACAATTGATACGGTGTTCCTCCTTGTCGTTGAAACACTTTAGAAAGGTATCTAATCATGCTGAATCCATTCAGGATCTGTTCCGCAAACAGAAGTGGTGATATATATTTGACCAATATTTACGCGATACACTGGAAATGTCTGACATTCTTTGCAAAGACGAAGACGTTCAACATTCTATTCGTCACTGCAGACTTCTTCTGCTGACCCTCGACAACGATACCCTTCGCTATGTGGTCTATCTGAGTCCAACGTTGATTTGATGATGGATGTCGTTAGGTCAGGCAAGGTCTCTCTTTGTGCCTAAAATTACTGGTGACTAGGAACAGACGACTATCTGAACAGAACTGTAGAAGACGATCACCGTGATCAGTTTGTCTGCAGAGAACTCCGTAAGTACCACCTACATACTTCTCAGTCTGGCATAACTTCCTTACTTGATCATTGAAGTCAAATAGCTGTTATTGTGAACATGCCAAATCTCTCGACTATATAGGATCACTAAGCTACTTCACATCAGTATCGTAAATGTACACCTTGTTCGTTATGCTGAGTGCACTTATCCTCCAAACCGATTTCACATTAATGAATCCTTCTTTCGATATCCTAATCAGTTCCAGCTGCAGCTGAAGTGATGCTGCATAGTTGAAGTAAGTGGAGGAGATGACTTCTTGTAGGCTTCTCTTGTTGATGTTGGTTTTCGTCTGCCTAACTGACTGTTTTCAACACAGAACTTTGCACAGACGTTCAAGAGTTCGAGTTACCACTCTTCATGTAGAGCACACAAAGCAAAGCGGTCGAGTAATAATCAGAAGTGTGAGGGAAGAAGAATAGTAGTATGGAAAAACAATAGAGTTTTATTGGATAGGATAAATCACAAACAGTGAATGCATCTGCGCCAGCCATTGAGAAGATTTCGAGCCATATCACAAATTATCTCCAGCATTCATTGGTTCTTATCATCCCGAGGACCCCAACCATCAAGTCAGTCCGCCCATCCAAACGTGAGTGGCTTAAAGAAATTGTCATGGATTTCATTTGCTGATGAAGCCACGTTTTGGTTTGACCACCACTAGTTCTTTTCCAACCTGATCCATTCTATGTTAGCCGACGTTGCCAGTCGAGGAAGGCGATGGCTGGGCATGCATGCGTAACACATGTCCTAACCATCTCAATCGATGCAGCTGCTTCACAACCTCGTTGATTGATTTTCTCGCCTACCTAGCACTCGACCGACGACTCCTAGTCTCAATATTACTCACCCTATTATACCACTTAACGTGGGAGATGGAACGCAGACACTTATGATCGAAGACAGCTAGCCTTTACATTCATGTCTTCCACTTTTGATGGCCATGTCTCACTGACTGCCATAAAGAAGGACGGAGCGAACTGCTGAGCAGTGCACACGTTCTATGATTGATAGCCAGCCGGACGTCACGTCTCCTAAGCCAGAGATGGCGTAAGTTGGCTGGTAAATGCCGCACTAGCCTTCTGTATCCGTGATGAGAATTCGTCAGTGATCAACCCGCTGGCGTTGGCTGATGCAACTCCCCAAATGAATGATGAAGTGCTCAACACGCCCCACCAACCACTTCACTCCCTCTCTTTAATCTAGAATTCGATTTAGTTTAATCCTGTTACAGCATCATCTTACATTTGACAGAGGAAGCGAATCGCATGCCAATCACTCGAAGATTGCTGCTTCTCAAGGTGTGTTCAGAAGACTCTGCATTTTGACAGCATCTTTACCTAGAAGGACTGCATATTCTAAGTCAATAAGATTATGCACTGGTAACAAGTCAATCCTTGAGTCGCTGAAGTGAGATAGGGTTAAGTCCATTAGTCCATCTATAATGGACGCCGTTACGTTTGCCTATGTTCCAGAATCTGTCGAAGAGTGAAGATATGATTAATACACCCTCTTCCTGGTCTAAAGCCTGTCTGATTCTTTCTTGTTTGTTTTTCCCAAGCACAACTTAGTTTAAGCATGATTATTGGTCCTGGAACTTTAGATACCATATTAGTCAAGCTGATCCCCTTGTGATTATCACAAGAAGGCTTGTCTCCCTTACCCCAGCCTAACGGGACTATCTCTGATTCCCAGACGTTGTCTAATACTTTAGTTAACGCAGAAAGTAAACTGTCTCCAACGTCCTTAATTACCGCTCCTTCTTCTACTAGCTTGTTTACTTCTGCCAGTAGATCTTCGAGTTTATGCTACATTAGACATAAATCATCCACAAAGTTCAGATCTTCGAAAGTCTATTCATCGGCCTGATATATATTTGTCTTCTAAATCCCCACTGTGTTGTGGGATGTAGTACATCACAAAGCGGAATAGCATCAGTGACATTAGACAGCTTTGATTTACATGAGTCTTCAAAGCACAGAAAGTATAAACAATAAATAAACTAACGCCCAATTCTCCTAAGTATCGTGTTAACCGTTTTCCAAGTTATTCCCTTATTCATTCATATTACATAAATCAATCTACTCTTGTTGTCGTTGTTTGGATTTGTCCGACTGAGGGGGGTGGGGGAGAAGACAGTAATAAGTTGGACCACCAATAAGAAGACTCCATCCGGAGGATCTGGATTTCGTCAATGGATGATTTATGTTTATGTCACACACACATACAAACTCGAAGACTTACAGGCGGAAACCAACAAACTGGCAGGCAACGAAGACAGGACAGATTTCAGCTGAATTTAGAGAAGACGGAGGTGATGAGGATAACCAACCAACAACCAGTACCAATCACCATCACAGAAAGAGAGTTGACACAGGTTACCTCCTTCACCTATTTGGTCAGGGACCACGGTTTCAACCACAGGCAGTCGGAATGGATTAAGATGTCAAAGCAGGTCAGCCAGCCAGCGAGCCAAAATCGGAAAGGCAAGGCAAGATACGCCTTCATCAACCAACATGAAACCAGTTTGGAAATCCTCTCCAGTAATTCAGCCAGCCAGTATAAAGAAACAAGATTCGCATTTTCAACACAAATATGAAGTCAGTCAGTCACTTCTTCTATACGGGTCAGAAACAGGGCTATTGTGTCACGAAAAGCATTTCCAATAAGCCGCTTCAGACTTCTATCAACAACTGCCCACTTCGCTGGCTCGCTCCATACTGAAGATCAAATGGTCAGTCAACCAACCTGCCAGCCAGAAAGAATTAGCAACAAGAAACTCTGGCTGTTTGTCTGGTTAGCTGGCTGGGAACAAACCAACAGGCGATAGCCGATTGCTCAACAAAGGCATATGTAGGAGAAAATGGAGATGGATTGATCGGGTAAACGTTGATGAGGCCATCGAATGAAATCGCACTGAATGCAGACCATCCATCACTCGAGTGGAATCTCAATGGGAAACGACGAGTGGGTTGTCTGTGTGAGGGTGACATGGAGGAGATCATGCGAGTTGGAAGAGGAGGAGATGAGAGATTATGGGATGTCGTGGAGTCAGCAAGCTGAGGAAAATAGTAGAAAATAGAATAAAGTGGAGATGTGTTGTTGAAGTCAGCTGTATCTCTTCCACTCGGAACCCAAGGGTATAATAATAATGCATAAATCAATCCACTGTTTTTCTCAATAATGAGTAAATTCGGTGAATAAATTATCCATGCATAAACTGAAAGTTTCTACTTTCCAACTTGATTACCAGAAGAAGAAAATAATCAACATTATGCATATTAAGCATTTTGCACATAAACATTATTCAGCTCAGAGAAGACAACTGCCTACACCAAACAAATAGCATCCATCTCAGGGCTAGAAATCTTTCCCGACATATTTAAACTGTCAAACGAGTTTTTTTTTCTTTTTATTTCCCCTTATTGCCAATCAATGTATGTATAATTATGCGTATCAGAAGAAGCGTAAAAATAATGACAAAATGCATAAATAAATAAAAATTTTAAAAGAACGTCATATTATGTATGTTTACCAGAAAATCAAAAACAAAATCACTTGCATAAAATCTTTGCCGATGCCACATTGTCAAGTGATCGATTCATAAATGAGATCTCAACGGTGCCCTTAAAGTGAAGATACGAGTCAAACACAAGGCTGCCTGTCTACTATCACTAACGATGATATTCCTGATTATGGTGGATTGGATCATTCAACTGATTGTGTGTGAGAAGAGAGAAGACAAGAAAATGTGGTGCCGATGTGAAGACGCTAAAAAATGTAGACTTTGTGGACGACTTATGT